GAGTGACGCAGTGATGGATGCGAAGGAGTGAATTTTGTGTAATGACAACAACCCGGAAATGGCTTTCAGCGATTTTACGAGTTAAAAAAGGAGTGTTAATTTTTATTAGAATAACATATCAATTTTATATCAAGGACTGTGCACTTACCACCTTCCCCCCTTCTTTCGAAGCTTAGGGTATCTTGTAAATGATATATTTAGCCCATTGCAGAAACGTGAGAGGACTGGGACGAGTTTCTTATATTGATTACATTGAAAATCTAAACATTTCAAGTGAAATTTTACTGAATGAAAAGCTGCCCAGCCAAGTTTGAGAGTTTTCTGCGAAAAAGTGTCCAAATCGGAACCTTGCAAAAGTCGCAAAATTTCCATACAAACCCTTAAAATTTTTTGCCCTGTCTACCCAATCCATACAAACTCTCTATTTTAGGTGATATTTGAAAAGCTGTCATTTTGCCATTTTCCTCTTCTATATACTTCTATTCTTGCTTAAGACTCAAATTTAGTTGATCTTTCATTTGAATATCTTAGTTTTTCAAACAAACGAAAAACAACCACACTCTTTCCCAGTCCTCTCACGTTTCTGCAATGGCCTATTGCCATTCTTCTCTTCATCGTTATTTTATTTTATTTTTTTTTTGCCGTCCCATGCTTTAGCACAACTCAGTCTGAAGCCTGAGTCGCACTCCGCCTAATTCAGTGGTTTAAGGGAAACAGGGAACATTGCTGAGTTGGCTTCCTGAGCGAATCTGAATGATTGAAAATCTCGTCACAATAATTTTGCGATATTATCCAAGGGAACGAATGTTTTCTTTCGACCAACTGATACAGCAACCGCAAATAGCGCGAAACCCGCCGCACTGAGTATTCTTTATTAGTGGGAAAACAGGAAGTAGCATGAAAATATCATTCTACAGGAATTTCTTAAATCGTATTGTAACTTGTTACATACCGAAAAAAAACTGCATCTTCTACTGTCATTTACCCAATCATCTTGTGTGAGGTCATGATTTTAACTGCGTTGTTAAATTTTCCAATAAAAGGTATGGGAAAGTCATTGAAGTAGATACATCTTTCTGATACGGTAAAAAATGCGTTTTTATAAATAAGATATTTTCTAAGTGCTTTAAGAATACCGGAATAAAAGAAAACACGAGTTTAAGCGCAAGTAGATGGTATATCAAAGAGATATTTATTCTCCGTGACTCGAGATATTTTATGTATCTCTTCAGAAGTCTTAGTACTACTAAATGCCTCGGCAAATCAATCTAATTCCGTTCAATTTACTAAAAAACTTTTGCGGCCTATTATAAAAATAATTTTAAAATTCGAAAGGTTTAAACTCCGCTTTGTTGTTTTGAATAGCGACTTAAACGATTCCGTTATCGCAAGGAACTCTTAAATTTTAAGTTGCTGTCAGAGATAAGATTTTAAATTGAATACCGTAAATAATTCTTCTTAGCCAATTCAGTTTCAACCTGTAACACGGCTGCCAGATTACAGTGATTGCAACTTGTATTTTGTACGAA